TAATTTATCATATAATAATTAGATTATAAAATAAATCGCTTTTGAGTATACGCGCGAGTTACACACACGTGGTCGGAAATTAGGGAATTTACAAAATGTGCGATGAAAAATGTGAAAACCGCGTTCGGCCTGCGATTTAGTTCGGCTGCCGCTGGTTTCGGACAACGAAGAATTATGATTACAATATAATAATTTGCATAATACAATCCAGAATATAATTTTAGATTGAGAATATTTAAGTTTAAAAATCGAAAAAGTTAACATTCTTTTGTCTCTTTCATTGTTATCTTTCCATTCTGATAGGAAGATATCGCATGGAAATTTCGCAGTCAAACACATACACACGCATAGAATCGGTTTTCAATCAATTTTACGTGTCTTTCTTAAGTTATCATAGTCAAATGTTATTAGAAAAAAAGAATCGTGTTATTTATTAATTGAGAATGTTAGATTACGTGTTTTATTTATTTAATTTTTTTTTAGAGACAGTTGATATCATTAAAATCTTATAACAAAATCGTGTCAAATGTGAGAATATATTGCACAGCAAAGGCGGAGATGATAAATTTGTCATTTTACTCTGTACCGCTGAATCAACCGTATTAAAATTTCACAAACAGAATGAAAAGTGCACTCGCGCTTATTGGTACACGGGAGCGTAAATGAAAGCGTCATTTGGTCCATCCGAAAGTTCATAAATGAATCGGCGCGTATGAATAATCGCGCGTTCCATGGCCCTTTCCTTGTGATTCGCAGAAACTTTTCTGCATTTCGATTTGCAATTTTTATAGTTGTTCGATCGATCGGTCGCGATATCACGAGAAAAGCGTATTACTTCTTTTCCATTGTTTCAAAACAATAATACCTGTATTATCTCCTATACTGCAATATATGTACCCATAAAAAAAATTACATGAATGCAATTTGTATATATAATATCGCCTAATATATTTATATATAATATCGTATCAAGAAAAATTATAAGAATGAAAATATCACATAGAATTATCGCATTTCCCGCCATATAAATGGTGACAATTTAATTCTTAATGAAAAACTTTTTATTTAATTCATGATATTGTTTTATAATTTCTTTTTGGTATAAAATATAACATTTAATATTTTTTCCTACATTTAATATTTTTCCCCAATTAAATTTTAATACATATTAAGATTCTGTTTTTACTGTGTAAACCATTAAAAATCTCTGTCCCAATTTTTTGATATTTTCTGTAACGCTTGCATGGACATTTTCTTTAATTTTTAAAGCATTAAAGCAAAATTCCTGTATATAGCAGCAAGCAAAAAATCGTGAAAATTAAACTAGTAAAACTAGTAAAAAAAGTTTTAATATATTTATTTAACAAATTGACGCAAATATATGCACAAAAATAAGATTTGCCTGCTTAGATACTGTTAAATTTAATATGCAAACAAGTTTTAATTTATAATATAAATCAAAATTTCAAAAAAAATGTATCTTGGAACAACCGTCATTCTTAATCTGATATGTGCAGGAAAATGCAATAAATAATTCTTACTTTATAATCCAAATGAAAGCTGACAGAAATTCCAATATTAGTAATTTAAAAATCTACCGTTTCTCTATAACAGCTTTTCGGAAAACGAAAACGCTTGTCATGCCATAATCTCCATTGTCAAATGGGTACAGCTAGTTTATAAAGCAGCAGTGGAATCATGTTCCATGAAAGGAATAAATTAAAGTTTGCGAACTAATTTAAATGGATATCGGCAATGTATAAAAATAAAAACCGCCATGCGTCGTAAATTCGTGATGAATTCCAATCGTGAATTCCAGTTACGTGTCAATTTACAGTGACTATGAAGAGAGTTTCAGTAAAAAACATTATTTTACAAAATTTTTTAACAAAACACTTGTGTGTTGTATTTATGTCAAAACAATGAAAAGAACTATGATTGTATTTTGATATTAAAGAGATAATATAATGTGCATGTATTATCTCATCATAGTTTTCCTTATTCAAAAGTTCCCATGAATATAATACATTCAACATACAGGCATGCAGAAACACATCTGTATTTTTAAAATTTCCAGACGCAACTATGTTATGCCGCATCTAAATGAAATGACTTTGGCTGATGTAAATGTTAGTTAACTTACCTTGTTTGTACAAAATGATATTTTCATTGACCGGATACAATAAATTGATGCATTTAAATTATTCCTTTGTAAATTCCAATAGATCTTTGATACAATAAAATAATTCGACTTTGTAATTTTCAATTATTATTAATGAGCATTTTATTCGCAGCATCGCAGAAACAATAAGCTCGATCTTTGCCAATAATCGTGATAGATGACACAGACATCAAGTTTATAATTTTGCACGAATGTAAGTAATGCCAGACTTAACCGCGCGATAAAAGCCACCCACGTTTTCGAATATCAAATGTCTATCTTTTTTTATCCGCATTCATCTCGCCGTGCGGTTAATTAATGAAGTACGTGGAGTACGTGCAAGGATATCATTACGCGTGGCTGTTTTCTCCGATTCATTAGTAACAAAGCCGAGGCTTTAAACTTGTTTCTTGAACAATAAAAAACACTCCGCTATTATAATTTTGATAACAAGAGTATAATTAATCATTCTAGAAATTATCACTCTCTCTCTCTCTCTCTCTTTCGTCACATTTATTTTTATTTTCAATTAATCTAATTAAATCTGACGTGCGCGCAAGCATTGCGCCGCATGTCAAATAACAGACCACAGATAAAAAAATTCCGTACGAATTGAATAGTTTATAAACTTAAAATACAAAGTATCTGCTTTTCTAGATTAAAGTAGATATGAGTAATTAATGTTTATGAATTTTTAAAATTACTCAAATCTTAATTATTAATATATGTAACGCAAACGTATATAGTTGCACAATTCATTCAAATTTTTTCTTTTCTACCTATAGTTTTTTTTTTCTTTTTCTTTTTGTGAAGATATCTATATCTTTTTAGAATATCACAAAGATCTATTTCTTGAACCCTAGCGTGCAGTACGACGTTATTTCTACCTGCTACCCACTCTATGTTACTAACTTCCTTGATCGTGCTGGATTATAATAGCATTGGAAAAGACGAAAAATAAAAACGCGTTTTCTCACTTTTTTATTATTTATTCTAATCTAGCCATAATCATTGTATATATATATATTTCTTTTTTCCGCATTTGCGATTTCTATATTTTCTGTAATTTTGGAGAATGTAATCCGCGTCAATTTTTGTTATATCCTTTGTCTCTGACTACATCCACGATAACACGCGTAAAAGTTCCCCAGGGAAAATGTATTTCAACTGACAGAAAGTCTCTTAGCAAAAGCTTATCGCTACGTATCTGTATCTTAATTAAGCCAACGGCATGGAAAATATGTTTTACACTGTATTATGGATGTAAATAGGGCAGAATGCAAAGGTGCATTTGTAACTTTGCATGTGTTGTTGACACGTAATAAAGAATAAAGCAGATGTATTAAAGCTACATTGAAAATTGGAATAATTTTTTTCTTTATCGAAATTAAATTAAATATCATAATTATGTTTTCATAGCTTCAAGTTATTACAATTTTTCAAGGAATGGATAAAAAAAAGTAAGAATAAAAAATAGTAATAAACAAAAGCGAAGAAAAGTGAAAATGTAATATACGATTGGACATCTTGCCCGAAGGTTGCAAGAGGATAAGAATGTGCATGGTAAAACATGGCAGGCTTCTTCTTATCTCGAACTGGTGGCTAATGCAACGAAATAATGAATCAGGAGATTATCTACGCTCGTAGGGCGTGCCATGTGTGAGGGCTACAAGTTTTCAGCATTATCTTCGTCTCAGATACCCCCC